CTGGTTATTGCATTTATTTGTAGACTCACATAAACGTTTAACCGGGAAGATAGATTAAAGTGTACTTTGCTACTTTTCTCTATCTTGAGTCGTTTAGAAGTTATTCAAGTTAAAATAATCCGACGATTTTGCGTCACCCTAAATGATAATGGCAGTTTTATTAAGGAACTTAATTTTCCCCGCACTGTTTAAAATACCTCATCGCTCTTCTCTTATCCTAATACCAATATTTTATACTCGAAATTACAACTTTGGTGACTTGGATCTTTGCATCAGGATAATAGAAGAGCGAGGATGCATAGACAATTTTTATTTCTGCTCCAATCTTTATGAAATTGAGCACAGCGTTAGAGTAAGTAATTTAAAATGTATGGCTGGTATCTACTTCTCTCCATCTTCGATGCTTTTTGAGAAGTTAGCCTCAACTTTTAAACTATTTTTCTTAGAAATGAAGTGACTATTTTTTAGGATGTAAACGTTGCCATTCTATGCGTACGCCGATTTTAAAAATATTTTTCTGTTCTGATTTTGATGCCAATTTGGGTACATATAACAGAAAGTACGGCAAATTTCTAGGTGGACTCAGTTGCTTTCTATCTATAAGAACTTTGTTTTTTTTTTCGTTCTCCTTAGTTACTAGTTACTGAATTTATCTGTAGACTCACATAAACGTTCAAACGGGCAGATAGACTAAAGTGCACTTTGATACGTATCTCTATCTTGAGTCGTTTAGAAGTTATTCAAGTTTAAAATAATCCGGCGATTTTGCGTCACCTTAAATGGTAATGGCTGTTTGATAAAGAACTTACTTTTCCCGCACGGTTTAAAATACCTCCTCGCTCTTCTCTTATCCTAATAACAATATTTTAAACTCGAAATTGCAACTTTCGTGACTTGGATCTTTGCATCGGGATAACAGAAGAGCGAGGAGGTATAGGCAATTTTTATTTCTGCTCCGATCTTTATGAAATTGAGCACAGCGTTAGAGTAAGTAATTTAAAATGTATGGCTGGTGTCTACTTCTCTCTATCTTCGATACTTTTTGAGAAATTAGCCTCAACTTTTAAACTATTTTTCTTAGAAATGAACTGACTATTTTTTAGGATCTAGACCTAGACGTTGCCATTCTATGCGTACGCAGATTTTTAATTTTTTTTATTTTCACAAAAAGTACGGCAAATTTCTAGGTGGAGGAGGTATAGAAAATGTTTATATCTTTATGAAATTGGGCACAACGTTAGAGTAAGTAATTTAAAATGTATGGCTCGTGTCTGCTTCTCTTAATTTCGATGAATTTTGACAAGTAACCCTCAACTTTAAATTATTTTTCGTAGATCAAATCTAGACGTAGCACTCTATTTTCTTAAAAATTAGCAATTTTTTTTCATTTGCATGTGTCAACGATATGGAAGAGATTGTCTTGCCTTTAAGTCAAATGGCACATCAGTCATATGTAAGTAGCTCCGGAGCGACATAGCAAATAAATTAACAAGAATAAAATGTAAAATATGTTGTATTGGAAATGGTCTGTTAATACAACTTCGACATAAAAAATCTATTGCACCCCCTTTTGTCGCTAATGTAGAAAGGAAATTACAAGAAATAACTAAATCGTTATTTTTAATTACCTTTATTTTACAAACATGTAACACCATGTGCCTATAAACAATAAGTCTTTTTGGATTATAGAATTAAATATAAAATATTAATAACTTCCTACAAAACTACATTACTTCAGTTTTTAAGTAGATAGGGACAAGTATATATAACAAAATTTTTAACATTTATTAGAATATAATCATTGAAAACACCGATTTTTATTAAAAATATTCTTACGGTCGTTTTTCCGTACTGCCTCAAACCAACGAAATTATTGCTTTTATTGCAATACAGGGTGTTCAAATAACAAAGCACGCCCGACCATATTCAATGAATCATTTATATAAGGTACGGATCTGAGATTTTTTTTAACATTTTCAGCGATTTCTCTTGAGCGCTTTTATCATGAATTTTTTTCTTCAAAATTCTACATAGTTTCAGAGATACAGGTTGTACCCTAACTTTTCTTATTTGGACACCCGGTGCACACTTTTAATGCAATAGTTATCATCAAAACGAAAGGAACATTTATAGTCATTTTCACACATGCTAGATAAAATTAACAAATTTCAGCCCTTAAAACAAGATAAAGCTCGGCAAGCTGTTATAATCTCATATCGTTTGGGGTTTGAAATATAAGGAAATAAAATATTTTAACATTTTTAAAATTGATTTTTAGAACTAACTTGGTTTCATTTACCACTAAGGTCTAAAACTATTAGGCACATAAGAGTTCGTTGCATATAGGGATAAGAAATGCATTTAGAATGATAATTGTGACCTTACTTCTAAATAGATTTATCTAACCCAACAGACTAGTGAGTGTGCTAAATTAATTTTTTTTTTATTTATATAAAAACGAACAGAAATATTTTAGTATACAAAATGAAAAATAATTGAAATTATTTTCTGTTTTTAAATACAAATCGGCTCCTCACTAATTTGTGGGTTTAGATTTTAGATAAAGGATAAAGACAACAAAATTAAGTTTAAATTAATTTTAGGGCGCGATTGGCAAATTTTTCAAATTTTCTAATAATAGACAATTCGTTATGTAGTTATCAAATTTGACAAGTAATTGAAAAAGTATTTAACATCTAATTTAATAATCAAAAATAGTATTCACAAAATTTAGTGATAAGGAGCAATAGTATCAATGAGTAAATTACTCTAAAATTTCATTAATAAGTAATCTTAGATGTGGTGGCAGTGAGAAAGAAACATTTTAGATTGGCAAATCCTACTGATGAGCATACTGCAGATCCCACACTTTGTCTGTCCTGGGCTCAAATAAAATGGCACTGTATCTGTGCAATGTGAAAGATTAAGCAAGAAGAAAGTCCTTTTTAACCAGTTTAGTTAACCCAAACCGAAGTCAACAATATTTAAATTAGATTTCCACCCACTTTATTTTAAGAGATAGGGTAAACAACTTTAAACACAAAATATACTAATCTTCTCATGATTAAGAGTATTAGGCTAGGATATGAGTAATTTACCTGTGAAAAATTGGAATTAAGCTAAAAAATAGTATGTTGGTCCAATTGGATTGCTCCCAGGCTATATAAACAGCATTTTTTAGGTTTATTTTTTTGAGAATACTGCGCAAACGGCTAGTTCGAAATAAAAAAATTCTTGTCCAGTCTAAATCTAGAGGATATTTGTGATCGTTAACTAAAATTTTTAGTCCCAACGCAAAATAAATAAGGATTCAATAGTGATTATTTATGCAGAACATAATAAAAAATAATTTTTACTTGACAGAAGTGTCCCTAAGTACAGTTGAAAAAAAAAACCTGCAATATTAGGAACTGCTTCAAATATTTGTTTTGCACTGCTTTTATTTTGCTAGCGCTATGGGCCAAAATGATGGCCTTATTGATTTTTTTCAAAAATCGCATTATACCTGAATTTTGTAGGTTTTATTCTCTATTCAACCGTGCAAAAATTTTTAAAATTTGCTGCATTACGTGTTGATTTATTAATGTTTAAAAATAACAAAACATCACAAATAGGAAAGCAACTTAACTTACAGTAACCTTATCTAATGACAAAAAGTCTTACTTCACGTCTGAATCAAAACCGATATCATGCAATGCCGAATTTTAATTCTAAGGATGAGTGCGCTACGTTAACTTCCTTAATTCTGAAACAATAATTAGTCGAGAATTAATGAAGCAAATTTCAAAATTTTTTGCACGGTTGAATAGAGAATAAAACCCCCTTTCAAATGAGCTATCACTCACCACCCCATGCCATTTAAATTTTTCGAAAGGATTGCTCCCCTCCTGCAAGGGATGAAACTAAGGGTAAACTAATCATACAAAAATGTACATAGTAGAAATCAAAAATCGACGTGTCTCGGCGATTTCCCTAACAAGACTCCAGTAACGAGTTAGTTAAGGGGGGTAAGACTTATGATGCTCACTGTATAAGCTGCATTAGTATCACCTACATGGACGCCTAAATTGTAACACGATAACTGCGAGAGGTAGAACATATCACTATGTGTCAGTGAAGGAACAAACATGACTTGTTGTAAATCCATGGATAAACAGCACTTTGTACTTTCCGAGTCTTGAGACTCCACCGTATCTTTCTTTAATACCTCCCTTGCTCTTGCGGTGGTGTAACCCCAGTTGAATTTTCGCAGATTCACTGGACTCGATGTTGGCGTTGACTTAATCAAGTTTAACTGATCTTAGACGGGCTAACATAATCAAGCTGCCACCAGAAAATAATGTATCAGTAAATAAAAAGGCTTCACTTCAAAGCATGATACCTTACCTTAAGAATCCGAAACATCAACGTTTCTATAAAAAACTCCTTAACATAGAAGATAATATACAGGTGCAAGGAAACCAAAAAATATATATTTTATAAATAGTTGTTCATTCACACATTCATAATAAGTAGTTAGTTTTGAAATATTTTTTGTTAAAAAGTTTGTTTTTGGACTTGTATATATTTAATAAAAAATACATACGAACTCTCTTTAACTAATTTAGTTTTCATTGAATATCTCAAAATTATGTTTTTGGCACATACGCCCTTTCTAATTTCCACTCTTCAATTGCTAAGAAAATCTATATTGCCTTTTTGGCATAAGACATTTTAGTACCAAGTTCTCAGGAGGTGCTGGGTATTTTTTTTGTACACAAAAAATTAAAACCGCAATAAAACATACAACCGTATTTAATAATTTCTAATATTTAGTGTGGAGAAAAAATATTAAATTTGGAAAAAAATGTTAAATTAAATCAGTACAAAACTTAGGAGCTTGGCCTTCCAAGAAAACACATTCCTTTCTTCTAGACGCTTTAAATTATAACTAGGGTAGTACATTCACAGGTTTTTTTTTTGTCACAAATATCTTCTAGATGAAGACTGGACAAGATTTTTTCATTTCAGACTAGCCGTTTGTGCAAGGATTCTCAAAAAGTCGAATAAAAAAATTAAAACTCTAAAAAAATGAAAGCCAGATGGCCAGGGAGTAATTAAAAGGAGATCATCAGGACATCCAATTGGATCAACAAACCAATTTGTAGCTTTATTCAAATTTTTCACGGGTAACCCCTATCCTAAACGATTCATTGCTTGTGCTATTATGTTAATCACATGTTTGTTAGTCGAATTAGAGAAAAATCCTCTAAACAATTGTTTGTAGGTGTTACGCCAACCAGCGACCGGCTTAGAAAATCAGAAACAAAATGTATATTATCCACCACACCATATATATTGGACCCTTTAATAATTATAATAAAGGTCAATTTCTTATTAAATTTTTAAAATCAACTATATTAGTATATTAGCTAACAGTTTCTTATTAAGGCCACAATTTAAATGAAGTAATGTAATTTTGTTAATATAATAATTAGTAAGTATACTAATTTCTAACTAAAGTAAAAATATACCGTGTAAAATGGTGTTAATAAAAAAAAACACGTAATAGTAATAATTGTCTAAATATATAAATATATACGTATATTTACTGGTCAAACGGGTAGGTAGGGAGGACTGTATTATATAATTAAGTTTTATGAAAAAATACCTCGCACCACTTACTGCTTAAATATTTGGAATTGTTTAAATATCTACTCATAGTCCGTGGGCCCACTGATTATTTTTTGCAAACATATATACAATTTAGCAATAGTTTGATTTTATTTATGTACTGAAGATATAAACTTAATTGGCACACCAATACAGCGGATAGGCAGTTTTTGAAACTGCAGTAAAAAATGTAGGCGCTATTTTTTACATACACAAAGAAGATTATCAATAATTTTTAGAAAAAAAATCTTGTTTTCTTGTATTTATGAAATAGTGTGCATACATTTTTTACTCCATTCACTGTATTGGTATACCAATTAAGTTCATAGTATCACAAACATAAAAATTCTCATTACAAATTGTATATAATGATGTGCAAAAATCATCAGGGGTACACGGTCTATCAGAATTGGTTTTTATTATAAATTTTCGTCTTATTGATTATAACAATAAATAAATATTTTCTAATAGATTAAATAAAATGGAGCGATCGATATAGAGCAACTTTTGACACAAATGAGCATTATTCGTTCTAAGAAGCAATGCACCCGGTAACCTTCGCCATAAACCCTTTTAGTAATTATTAAAAACAAAAAAAAATAAATTCCTACAAGGCATTTTAGATATAAAACAAATGCAATGATTTAAAGTATTCTTAATGTATGCCGACTGAACAATGGCACATCAAGATCAAATATTTGGGCTACTCATTCAAGAGACAGTAGCAGACTTTGAAACGAATCACATGAAGTGGTTCTGAGTAAACTAACTAAATATATAGGAAACCTGGGACCTACTCTTTGGAATATAGCCTACGACAATTTTCTTACATCAAATTTCTCACAATGTACTTGGGCTGTGGCTTTGTGGACGATCTTACCCTATTTACTTAAAAGTGGATGAGAAAACGTAAAATGATCTACGCAAAAGACAACATGTGTAAGAACTAAGACCTCTCCGATGACAAGCCAGACATGTTCTGGAATCTGTAGCAAAACTAAAGGTGTCTATGAATTTTCACCATAGAATACATAGAAAACTTTCAATAGACTAAGTAGTGGTACAGACAACACCTACTTGAGTCTTATACGTTAGAAGATATGTATCAGAAACATTGCCACTGTTCTGTAGCTTAAGACGACAGATTGATTAAAAATGCAAAAAAATAATTTAAACGAATTTTTTCATTGACATTCAATTTAAAATATGCTTACTTTGAACAATCTCTATAAACAAAAAAGTTGGTGCATTGCTTCATAAGAAGTACAGAATTTGTTGCAATCAGTACTGAGTGAAAAAATAAATAAATAAATAGCTGCAATAATATTATCAATAATAATAAATGTAATTTTTGGCACGTAATTTTTTCAGTAAACGAAGAGTTAAATAAAGGTTCCAAAACACCACGTGAAGCCTGTTTCTTAATATGATATTATTAATATTTTATTAGTACAAAGTTAATTTATACGAGATTATAAAATATATTGTGTACCGTAGTTCGTTTCAAATAACAAAATGATAACCGTTTTTATAAACACGCTAGTTTGGAATATCAAAATATAAAATTCAGAAAAAAGGTTCATAATAACAGTAGGACTTTTTTCTTCTTGCGAAAGGATACAGTGATAATTTAATGATCTAAAATTGTCTAACCGCAGGGTCTATATTATATTTGAATATAAAAGGAAACTTAAACGTTAATTCAATAGAAAACGGGAACCTAAATAGTAATCTGTTACAAAGACAAAAAGTTGAGTTTTTGGAGCGACTTGTAGGAGCCCTAAAAAGCAATTTTCGTCTGTGTTTCATACATTATTTTTTATACGATTGTGCTTAGATATTAAAAAAATATACATAGAAAATTAAATTTGTACGGAAGCGTAAAAGTTATTTTGTTTGTTAGTTTTCTGACTTAGAACTCGGAAAAATTGATTTGTCCGACTTAGAACTCAGAAAAATCGATTTTTCTTACTTAGAACTCGAAAAAAAAAAAAAAAACGTATTATTCTGATTCTAAATAGGAATAATCTATTTTTCCGAGTTGTAAGTCAGAAAATATCTATTTTTCGAATTCTTATTCACAAAAAAATAACATGTCGGTAATAATTATTTTAAGAAATAAGCTTCACTGAAATGTAATGTCGCCGAAATAAAGTAAACAAATAGTTTACACCCAGTACTGATTTTTACGCAACAGCATACTGCTGTTGGTTGGACAAGGCATTGGCTCTGGAACCTCCGGTACGTCCGGAGCCTCGCTCCATTCATCCATACCGTCATCGATACCATATGGATAGAACATGTGCGGCGAGTCCAGCTCCATTCTACCTAAAGGAGTGACTTTGCAATGAGGCAGTGCGCTTAAGGATGGAGTAAACTCCGATGAAAACTCAGAAGTAAATTCAGCCGACAATTCGGGCGTAAAATCAGTCGTGAAAACCGGTTGAAAATCAGTCGAAAAATCGGGCGGGAAATCGGTGACGAAGTCGGGCGTGAAAGTCGTTGTAAAGTCGGACGTGAATTCGGGTGGATAGTCATCTGGAAGCGACTCTCTTAAAGAAGGAGATGACGTCATTAGTCTATCAGGTGGACGGGGTAAGGGTATAGGTTGGACACAGTGCTCTTCTTTATCCATGTGGTTGTCCACTGAACGACACTTGATTACCACTATTACCGCTATGCCCAATACTACTACGCCTACGGCCATACTTACTGCAAATAAAGAGAAACTTAATTAGCTTAATATATATTTCGAAAAATTATTTTTTTTATTTCAGTTATCACGAATTTGCAAAAAATAGACTTGATGAATTTTTCTTGTACGCCTACGATATAATTAAGATAAACTAAAGGCCTGTTCCAACAACGATGAAATACAAATCATAAATCACTGCCCATTTCTCGGTATAGAATTTGGTGGTCAGCAGAATCCTGGTGTCAGCGACTGGTTTCTGATCGTTGTTGGAACATACCACAAATATGAAAAACATACAAAATAAAAAGAAACATTTAATATATTTTATAAATACTAGACTATGAAGATTACGTACTGATTACCAAATAGGTCTATTCTCTATTCTATATTTTATTTTTTATAAACGGTTTCCTACTTACCAATTAATAAATAATCTTTAGTCATATTTGGACTAGCCAAATAGAGACCCCCTTCATGACTGGCAGGGTCGCTTGGTCCTGGTCGCGTCGAAGAAACATCGTTATCCAAGGGGGATTTCACAAGGATCTTCAATTCTCCCTCAGCTGGTTGTACGATACTGGCACTCAAAACAAAAACCAACTTGTCATGAAAACCATACCATGGTACTTCAACATCATTAGCAACAAAAAATATCAAACCGCTTTGGATATCTTCGTGGCTGAAACTTGTCACCAAGGCATCTAGAATATTCCTCTTTTCTCCAGAACTTCTTATTATTTTGCGTATCTCTCCCTGTTCTGGGGATTTAATGATGGTATATCGGGGATTCCCGTTCGTTAATTTAGCTAAAGGCGATGCATCTAGCGAATTCAAAGTCAAACGTACTGATTCCCCAGTTTTTACAGTAAAATTATGAATGTGCATGAAAGGTTTGACTTTGATTATAACTTCGACAATCTCTCCAAATGAGTTGTTACCAGAAAATATCTCCCCGCTGACTTGGAAACTATCGTTGGATATACTCATGTCCGTTTGTAAATACATAATTTTGTTGTTGACTAAATCACAATAGGAAAAATACGTTAAATTAGCTTGGTTGTCTTTATAAAGTAATCCATGCTTGGGTGGTCTTTTTAAAGTAAATTCAACTTTATTTCTGTCAGCGTTTGTGTTTATATAAAACTGTTGTTCTGAGAGGAGCATATCATAAGAACCCTGTAATAAGTGCACAGGCATTCCAGCCTTTATACTGATGTTAATTGGGACAACGATTATATTAAATAAGTTAAACTCTGGTCTGAATTTTCCATCCCATATCCTGAAGTGAAAAGAATCCTTCAGAACGCTGCCATCATGTGCATAAACTAATTTATTATTATCAATATCAGCTTGAGTGAAGGAGGTAACGGAAATATTCTCTAGCACTAACTTCCCATGTGATGGTCCGGATATGAGATCGTATTTGAGCTTTGAAGGGGGTGTATCGGCATCTTCAGTAGCTAGATCGTGCCTAGTTATTGTGCGATTTTCTCCTTGAACTACCACTAAGCTAGGAGCCGGGGTTACTAGGGTAAAAGGTTGGTCGTTTACCGGGTTAACAATGATCGGCACAGTTATGTTGCAAAGAGTGATAGGGCCTGGTATTAGGTATAAAGAGAAATGAACATTATCCCCTAAAGTATCAGAGTGATCGTGCTCATAGTAAACTTGTCCAGATTCGAGTTGGAGCTGAGTAAATGTGGATAAGTTTCTGTTTTGCTGTGAGTAAACTTGTCCATGTAGGGGTGGTAGAGCAGATGCATGAATTATAGGGGAACGCAGACCCGCATGGTTTTCTAAAAACATTACAACCCCTGAAAGATTAAGAGGGATCGTTGTAACCCCACCTTCGTCAACAGAAAGCTTAGGAATGTTCACGTAAGCATCTAGTCCGCCTGAAGATACTGATATATCTATTGTGAACACCTAGAAAAATATACATATAAGAGTAATTGAAAATCTACAAAAAATATATATTCACCTTTCTGAGTAATTTTTTCGCTAAGTGAGTCGTTACATTGAATACAAACGAATCATTGGCATATAGATCAGAAAATTGGTGTGTGTGTTCATAAAAAACTCTACTAGTATTCAAATCTTCTTGAGAAAAGCTCGAAACAACTTTGAAAATACCAGGTTTTTCCGATTCCATCATAAGTCTTCCTAAACTCGGTGGTTCAACGACGTTATATTCTATTTTTCTGTATGGATCAGATACCATGGTAAGTAAATGATTTGATGTTAGATATTTTTTCTGTAATGGGAAAATGTGAAGAGGATTGTTTATTAATTTTAATTCCACCGGTTTTGTTTTTACATGGAATATGTAATCTTTGGTGGTATGTAGCCCATCTGAAACGTTGAATTTAAATCGCGCAGAAGATCCATCTAAAAAATAAAATCAACCGTGTTCTAATCGAATCTATTGCTAATAAAAATAAACTTACTGTAGTGGCGAAATACAACTGTACGATTATCTATCATTTCTTGAGTAAAATGAGACAGCTGATTATTTGTATGAGATTTAAGTGAAACGGTACCAAACCAGCAATTCTGAACTTGGTATTTTAATGTTTCTTTAGGCAAATCATCATCAACAGCAGCTAAACAAATTTATTTATTAAATTATATTTTTAAAATTACAATGTTATATATAATTACCCAACATATCGTTTGTTATGAATTCCACACCTCCTTCCCACATGATTAAGCCTGTATTATTGACTACCTTAGGTTTTTGATCATTCACAGGAAAAACAATAATATTTAGTGTTACAGGCAAGCTATTTTTCTTCTGTTCAGTCTCACCTATTAAAATTAACTGATCGTTAGTACTTTCAGTACCATCATGAATGTATTGAACAACCCCAGCTTGTAGTTCCTTCTGAGTAAATCCTTTAGACTTTAAACACCTTTTGTGAACTTGTATGCATCCATGTTTTACATTTTCTTTAACTGTGTAAGAGGTAACTTTATTCTTATAGTAATCAGTCAGTACGAATAAGTGAGGGGTTGTCAGTATCCCCACCCCTCCTTCATTAACAATTAGATCACTAGATCCTAGGTACAGTCTTTCTGGAATTATTTCTATGTCTAGTTGAAAGTTGTTATTCCAAACAACTCCGTTTGTAACGTTAAAAATAATCTTATCTCTATTTTGGTTCATCATGGATTGAATGTACAAAATTTTGTTTTCATTCACTAAGTCTTGGGTGAAGCTTTCGACATTTAACGGCTCTTCAGATGTTTTGACGTCTGACAGGATGGTTATATAGCCATATTCAGGCATCTGCACAATGTGGTAGGTTATTGCAGATGGAGGGACGTGGCGTTGAGTGACCTAAAATATACAGGGTCAATTCTAAGTTGATAATATTTGACGTATAGAAATCACTAAAATAAACAACTTTTTCAAAAAAACTCAAAAATAAGAAACTGACATTAATTTATTACAAAATGTATACAATATGGTCCTGTCTAACTTAAATAAATAAATAAATAAATAAAGAGATGTTTAATTTAACGACTTCTATACACAGTTTAAAAAAGTACCATTTTATGATTCACCCATATATAACAAAAATGTCATCTCTACAGAGATTGTTAGATAGATATTGGCAAATTAACTCACTTCTAAAGTCTTTCTTGTAATTAATACACTTGTAGCCTCTTCAACAGACAGCTTTTTTAAAGTTTTTATTTCTAATGGTTCCCAGTAGTTAGAAGGTAACATCCATACACCAAGTTGGGCTATATTGACAGCATCTTTACATATAACCTTCATACCGATTTCATCAGCATTTACTCCCAAATGTTCATTTAAGTAACTTATATGACCTCTGTTTATATCATCTTGAGTAAAATTTTTGACAACCTAGAAATAATTTTGTCATAATTTTGAATGCATTGTAATAAAGAAAACAATACCTTAAGCGTTTTTGATAAAACAATCTTCCCAAAAATAGGCTTATTAATAATTTCATATATTACATCTTTTTCATAAGCGTAAAGGTTTGTGGAATATGATAGATGTTCACTAGTAATGGCGACAATTCTTCCTTGTTCCACAATAATTTTTTTCTTCATATTAACATGGATAAATGGAGCAGAAGCTTGGACTTCTAGAATGCCGTTCACGTGGAACTGACCATCAGTTACCCATAATCTTACTTTTCCAAATTCAGGACCTTTATGTTTAAAGATAATTTTATTGTTATCCACATCATCTTGAGTAAATTCTGTAATTTTGATACTAATATTATTTGTATTATAGAAATATCCATTAGAAGAATCTCTGCACGTATATACGATTAAAGATGGAGTGGTGTCTAAATCTGCATCAACATATTTCAAATCCTTTCCTGAAAGTAGTTTTTCCCCACCAACTACAACATGAAATACTTTATCAACCGTTCTAACAGGACTGTTATCATTTTTTAACAGTATTTTGATATCAAGTTGGCCCACATATAGGAAATTTTCATCTTGGGATGAGAGAGCCATAAAAGTTAAGAAATCTTCTCTAGTTTCCGAGTTGTCATGAACGTAGTATATTAAATTATTTTTTATGTCTTCAGAGGTAAAATGAGTTGTAAAGTTTATTTTAATTTCACCTTCAGTTTTTTGTAAATACCCATGTTTTGGTTTAATAGTAACATTATAAGAAATATTTGTTATAAATTTTGATTCAAAAGATAAGCGTTTTTGATCGATTAATAATGATGAACCTTCTTCAACTTGTAACTGTTCTAAGTGGACAGCAACTTTAGATAAGTCGTTTTGTGATGGTGTATAAATTATTGTCAAATTTGATGTAACATTGTTACATCCCGGTGAAAGCACAACAAAAGTAAAACTGTCCTCAACTTCGGAGTATGGTTTCTGATATAGTCTATATTTGATATTGTGGGAAATAATGTCTTCTTGTGTGAATGAATCACAAGATTTTAGTTTATACTTGGATTCCGCCGAGAATAGATACCCGTAGCGTGGAGGTTCAGCTACAACATAATGGATAGATGTTGGAGGTTTGGTAGGCTTGGTTTCAAACGAAAGATCTTCGTTAGTTATGGTTTTTTCCCATTCTTCTTTTAAATCCATGCTTTTCTTGGTTGATTTTTGTAAAGTACACCGTGCGAAAATTATTCTAAATGTGTACATTTGTGTTTTGTCCATAGTGAGGAACTAAAAATAAGAAGAGCAGAAATAGATATTGGGAGACACAAAAATTATAGTTGACAGTAAAAGTATGCATACAGGAAGGGTGCTTTAATTTATATACAAAGATGACTGAAAGTTTAAAAATATTTTAAATTTTGTATTACAATATATAGTTGGAAGGTAATATAGCAGACAAACATTTTTTAATTTCCAGCTCAGTTACGTCTCAAAAATAAATACTTATAATTAGATATTAGAGGATTATTTGACATACGCATTGCACAGTATGATGGGTAAAATTATAATCATTACCTAATTAATTCAGGAAAACAACCGTACCCTTCAATAATGTAATTCTTTACATGAAAAATTGTATTAGTCCAAGCTGAACAGCAGTGTTGTCAATTTTATTTAGATCTATATTTTCCAATATAAATTCCCGAAACGATATGGGTTGTACCACTAAGTTAAAGAGTGTCAGAAATATAGATATAATCTATGATATCTCTAGATCGGGAATCCACCTTGATTTGGAGTAAAGTCGGTGGATGTCATATGTCGCATTAATAAACTACATCTAAAACTACTTAGATACCTTTGTGGATGTTAATAAATAAAAAATACGAGAATTAATAAAAAATAAGTTCCACTTATAAAACTTTGTTACACAATCTAACATATTTTTAAATTGTACTCTTTATGCATTAGAACCAGAATGATTTAAAAACTAGCTATATTTTTTTACACCCACCTGAAATTCATCAAAGTCAGGCTTAGCAGAATTATGCCTGTATCTGACCCTGTGCTGTTTCAAATCACTTCCTGTAAATGAATCTGACCGTTCCCAAGAATTCCCAGTTTTTTCGACCTCAATTACACCATAAATAGGTTCTTTAATAATGGAAAAATAAGTTGAATAATCCGGAATGGCAACATTGGAAGTAAAACTCAAATTGTATGGTGTTATAATTGATGAGCTTTGATGTAAGACTATAAGCCCAGTATTTCTCTCCATTCTCCAATATTGAGCTGATACTGCGACTCTCAGTCGATATACAGGGCTGGTTTCTATTCCATCAGAAATTTGCATACTTATATAAGACGTATTTTTATCAACAGTTTTGTCAAAAAATAAAATCAATCCACCGTTTACTTCTTCTTGAGTAAAAGTGGATATTTTCACACCAGGCTTGTTTGCATTTTCAAAATAGCCATCTTCGCACTTTAAAATGGTGTATATCAACTGACTAGGACTGTTATCAGTATCTATAACTTTGAATATTTCTGGGGATAAAAATTTCTTTGTTCCCTATAAAACAATGAGTATTAGAAAATTAATAATAGATACAATAACAAAAAAAAAACTAATATTTGTCTAATTAACTGTTTACTTACCTTTTAGATGTTAATATGTAATTCATGCCATAAAAAGATCTAGAACACATTCATTAAAAAACTAAAAAAAAATTAAAATAAAAAATATTAATGAGTCTTTAAATTCATCAAATCAGCGTTTTGGGGAAGTAAAATAAAAATTTAAGTGGATTAGTTTTTAGAACACTATTGACTTAAAAAGATTTATAATAAGGAAATAGTATACTTGTATTTTTTTTTAAATTAAATTTATAGTATGTAGGCTCTATACTATATTATGTCGATATCATTAAATTTTAATAGTCACAAAACCAGTAAATGAATAAGTTAAGGATTTTAATGATTTAGATGGTAACAACAAAAGTCAAATATCTTAAAATTAGATTAATCATTTCATTATTCTTCTCTTGAGAATCCTCAGGTGTATTTTGTCTTAAAAATTCATTTCTGTTCAATTCATGATAAATATTTCCTTATATAATTCTTTTAATAAATTACATATTTTTCTAAACACAAAGCATCTAGGTTATAATTATTTTATAACAGGGGTAAATAAAAAAACAGGTAAATGGAAAATAAGCCAATCCAATTATTAAGAATTGTATTTAAAATATATTCTTATCAAAATTATTAATTATTAATAATAAAGTTTTTAAATTTTATTGCATTATTTGTGCAAATTCACATATTTTACAAACTTGTAAAAAGAAAAATTGTGAAAATAACATTTAGACTTTGTATTTAAACAAAAAACTTTAATCTTTACTGAATATTCAAAAATTTTTATATGGATGTATAAATGTTATATAACGCCACTAAGTTCATGCAAGAAAATAGGGCATAAATTAGTGGAAATCGGCCATAAAACACAAAAAATACATTCCAGAAAAAATCATGCCCTAACAATTAAAAAACAGAAAGTTACCTGAACTGTTCTGATAACAGTCGCATCCGAAATATCCAGAATAGGAGGGTCATTGGTCGGAGTAACTGTAACTGTCAAACTAAATCTAAATCTGCCTTGAAGATACTCTGGTAATGTAAAAGAATCGGCTGTCGAAAACATAACCTCCATTACTATATGGTCGTGGTTCTCTTCTGAACCGTCATGTATATAATGTACTCTATCTCTGGCTAGATCATAAAAGCTGAAGGAATTTTTATCGTGGGGCCAAATATCGAGCGTTATGCTTCCATGTTCTGGTCCTTCAATAACGAAAAACATGATACCAGAATCAGAGATACCATACTTGTGATAATCAAGTATCATATGCAGATTATTTGTTGTTAGTAGTTCACTCTGGCCTTCTAATACTTGGAGAGGTTCAACCGATAGAAGTTCCAAGTCAGTTGCGAGGCTACTCCTTGAAAAAACCTTGTAACCTTCGCTGTAATTAAGATTAACACAGAATTCTTCCTTGCACTGACAATGAAAGGAATCTAAGCCTTGTTGGATACAAATACCTGTGTTACTGCAAGGATTTTGCAAACAAGGATAATGCCAAAGGCAACCTGGCATAATACCTTCAGTTACATGGGCATCTTGTATGCCTTTTTTGACATCAAAGACAGATAGATATCTTAAGCAACCTTTAAAGCTGGTATCACATGAATCGTTACAACCTTTTTGGGAAGCACGAAATCTTTTACTAACTTCTAATCCTCCTAGGTACAAAGTATCAGTCATTTGGAAAAGGCTATTGTGAATATTTTTTTCACTAAATATTTTTTCATCGACACTCAATTCTATAATTGTAGGGGTCATTCTGAATGATATCTTATGCCATTCCCCATTTGCTACTTTGTTATTTTTGCTCAACAGTTTGGTAGTCTTTTCATTTATTTTAATTACAGCGTCTATTGAAAAATTATTTAGTTCTATAAGCAAGAAGTCTTGTTTTATTTTTAGGCCTGTGTTATAAAAAAGTAGCCCGTTTTTGTTAATGGTTCTTATTTCGAAGTTGATATTGAGTTCTTTGTAGCTAGTTAGTTTGTCTGAGATTATTATATAGGCGTCATCTTCTATAAAACTGATCGGTTGTTCTACTGTTGCATCGAATTCAGCTGCACAGTTCCATGTTATGCCTTGTACACTAGACTGTGATTGTCTATACCTTGCTTGTTCTAATACCATAATTCCGTTATATTGTAACTAAAATTTGAGAGAATTACTTTACCTAAGTATATTCAGTCAAGTGTTGCCTGTGATTAAGAGTTTTTATTTATTTATCTATTTACAGATTTCCAGAACAATAAGAAAAAATACAAAATTAAATTAACACAATTTACATTTTTATATAACTTGACATTGCTCTTTAGCAGGTATATTCACAGTTAAAACTGATGTCAGGCAGATAATTAAAAATGTATACAAGTTTGGAATAACAGAAACAAACAATTTAAAGATGATATTTCAAAGGTAGGTTTAAAAACAGTTGCTTGATTAGAAAAAACATGGGCATTGGTGGTATTCTTCTGAAATAGATCGAATGCTTTATTAAGAACCATATTCAAATTATGTGTTTCTGGTTTCTTATCCTCTCGTTTTATTGCTACATCTGGTGTCCCGCAAAGGTCACATTTGGGACCTCTACTTTTTAATATATAGTCGCTGGAAAGGCAATGTCGAAAAATGCCTAATTTGACTTAAGTCCACCACAAATCTGTTAAAGTAGATATTTATGATGTGACAAAGGGGCATATCTCTCCTCCTTATAGTTAACATAATATAGCAAATAATATGTGGATGGATGCATAAGCAAAGCATTATACACCAAAAGTTTAATTGCGTCTCCTGTAAAATAGCTAAAATGGAGTTACACCTCTTTATCTTTCCAACGACGATATATATATAACAATGACATTCGAAATTGTTTTGAGAATTATATTCCTTTGTTTTGCAGATGATTTAAAATTATTCATGCATGTTAATTACCTACATGATTGTATTTGTCTTCAAAAAGACTTGGGGTGAGATTACAGAACGTCTGCAACTTTGCAGATCTGCAAATATGGCGGCAACTTTGAAAATCTGCAAATATGACTGACTTACACATGCAAGCATCAAGTTTTCGTATTCCAAATTTGGGTTTAGTGTTGTTGGGGGTAATAACCACAATAAATATTGCGAATTTGCAGATATTTTTTGGAATACTTGCATTTGTACGTCCGCCATATTTGCAGATCTGTAAAGTTGCAGACGTTCTGTAATCTCACCCTTGGATAACTTGGTTGAATGACATAACACTGGATAATATTACAGAGGTATAAGATTTGGGTGTGCTAATAGCCGAGAATACCGATCAAGGAGAAGCGACAGTAGCTGTCGGCGCCTTTGATATAGGATGTACCTTTTTCACAGCATGACTTTGATTGATACACAACTTAGCACGCTGTGAAAACATGCTTATTTTCTACACTGAGCGAAATAGTTTGGCAAATTATCTGAAATTATTGTTATAGTCCATGCGCAAATGTTGCAATGTGATTTAATTACATTGAAGTAGTTAGGTGTAGCAATGGTGAAATTTCGACACCAAAAAATAATTCATTATGTAATAATTAACTATTTGTTATAAAAGTAAAAGACGTTTATTATTTTATAATTTATCTATAAAATCTGTTTAATATTTGGTTTATTTATTGTTAAAAATGTAATAAAAGGCCCATATTTAAATTACCTTTTCCTTAAGTAAAAATAAGGTAAATAAAATTAAGGGTGCCAAAAAAAAATTAGGTAACAATTAAAAATACATTAGGTTTGAGAGGTTTAACTAAATATTTGCAATGTGCATATATTTTCAAAGCTTTTAGGTTTAAAAAGTACTTTCATATTTTTAGAATTTCTAGATTTATATTATATTAAAAGGACTTTCAAGTTTATCGCTCATTTCTGTAGAAACAAGTGTTTTCTCGCCAAGTTAAACCAGATGTCATTTAAGGTTTATGTATTTAGAGTTAAATACCTGGCCTGGCTATCACCCAGACAATACAAATATGTCCATTGGACTCCATTCGATTTTGGATGTCTAGACGTCCAAAAATGAGTTTTCTGGACTTTCGACATCCAATGGACGTCCAGTGAAGTATACAAATAGTACACTTTTGACCATTCAGAGGACGTCCAATTCTGGAATATATTTGGACGTCGAATACTGGACATTCAAAACGTCCAGGATTATATTTCCATTGAGACCACATCCCCACTTTTTTTTACAGAACCGCAACTCATCACACACTATTTTATATTATTATTAATTTGTTTATTATTTTCGCAAACAGCTATAAACCATTTATTTATTTTTTATTAAAAATCGCTTGACCTGAGCAGGAATCGAACTCACGATACATCCATTATCGTTTTGCGCTTTCAATCGCTAGACGAGTTCGACCAAGGAACCACTTGACAACTTTTTACTAGATACAGTTATAATTGAATAAGATTTCAAACTTCCGCTGATGAATGAATGCAATGGATTCAATTTGTCAATTTTTAATGACCAGTTATATTAAAAAAAAGAAGTATATATAAATGGGTATTATCTGGTAGGCTTAATAAATAATGACCTAAGATGGACGTCCACTGGACGTCAAAATACTACTAAACTTAAAATTAAGTCCAAAAACAGACGTTCTCTGGGTATCGATATTCAGCTGTCAATTTAATTAGCATAAACGGACGTACACTGGATGCCCGGATATGGACGTCCTGATCCTCAAATAGATCTAAAGTGGACGTCCATTGGACTCTGTGTGCATAGACGAATTTTTAGAAATAGTACTTATTTAAGTATGCACCAATATTTCCAAAATCAACTCCAGTATGATTCATTCAATAAATTTAAATATGAATGGACAAAACATCTTTATATTGACATAATTGTAACTTACAATTTAGCCATAATAAAGGGATTTCGCCCACTTTGACCAATCCTAATTGAAAGACGCGAATTTATTATATTTTTTAAATATAATTTCAAAATAAAATAAACAAAATCTGCAGTTCATTGTTTATTAAATTTATTTAAAAGAAGAAAAACATATATTTCACAAAATACAATACCTAGAAAAATAAAATGTCAAAAATGATAATACTTAATATTTATACATGCGATAAAATTCTTAGTTTCCTAATAACTTTTTGGGTACATTTTATATCTGTATTAGAATACCTAAGTGTGTAAAAAATCTTCATCTTATTACTACACAAAACAAACACCAAAAAATATCACTTAACATTGCTCACGTACTAAACACAACTTGGGCTGACTTTGACAGATAACATAATTTTGAGTGATACACAACTTATTTTCGCACATGCGCGTTACAAAACGGTACACTGAAAACGCCAAGCTGTCGCTTCTCCTTGATCGGTATTCTCGGCTAATAGTTTCCACCTTCTCTTTTCAAACTACTGCTAATTTTCAGAACATGATGTGTTTAAATATTCTTTATTGTTCCTTAGTGAGACCTTATATTACTGAATATTCCTCCTCTGTATGGAATCCCTTTTACGTATATCAAATCCATAATATAAAACAGGTTCATAAAAAAGTTTTTACACATTGGTGCATTCAAATCTGGTATCACTCCTGTCAATTTCAGAATTACACATGCTTTTTCATTTTGAGACCCTCTTCAGTAGGAGAAACAAAAGGAATCTTAAAGTTTTATATAACATAATTAATTCATATGCTGATTGTCCCTACTTGATATCCCAAATTGGATTCTCTGTACCCTCTCTAAAGCAACTAGGAATGCTAATACATTCTCCCAACCGTTCTATAGAACAAATTATGGTTTTATCCCTAGAGTGAAAGGACCTGCTAATCAACTTAACATAAAATTGATTATCTTCGACAGAATTTACTAAACAGTATGGATTTTCATTATTTATTAATAATTAATATGTAGGTACATTATTATTTAATGAGTGTGATCTGTATTATGTTTTAATGGGCTCTGGCCTGTAAATAAATAAATAAATAAATAAGCAAAGAATATATAAATCTATAAAAAGTATAAAATGGTTTGAATTGAATTTTTTGTAGTGTTTAACTTATATAATACTAATTAAGCAGTATAAATATATAACTAATTAAAAAAATTTCAATAAGGTATAATGTGGTATGACAGTTATATGACTACTTATATAAGAACTTACGTCAGATATACATCCTCTGAATTTTTCCATATGCCCAAAAAATATATCAGTATTGTTTCTGTTTTTATTATCACCAATAAATAGACCATAGTGAATGTTAAGCTCAAAAAATTTACCTGGTAAGTGTTTTCTAAAAATAAATATTAATAAATATCTCAAGGTGGGTATTTCTGATATAGAAACATGTTTGTTTTGATGTAATGAGGTTCTTTTGTTCGTCCCACTAGTGTGGGAATTAACTACACCAATGGACATTATACTTTTCGTTTGGCCTGGTGTAAAATCCACTACACCTTTCGATCGCGGTGTGGTGTCCACTGGTGGATATTTTCTCCACCAGCTTTTTAGGAGGAGTGAATTACACTTGATATGAGTATAAGGAATAAGGAGGGAAGTAAACTAGGTAAATAAAGTGGTGTAATTGACACTGGTGGACACTGCACCAACAGAGAACAAAAGAACCTATTGTAAAAGTGTTATTCAGAAATAGGTTTGACTATTTTTTCAACTTTTAATAAGAGATGATATAATTTTCAACCTTGTTTGGATATTTTATACTGTTATTCTATTTATAGCTTGTGAAATCAACAAACATGTATAATACTTTTTCTTGGTAATTTGCATTTCCGGATATATTTACCAGCAAATTCACCAGTTAAATCTATGTTGAACTTGGTTTTTGATTTATACCATATTTATATAAAACTTTCCATGGCTTTAAAATTATTGCAAATGCAAATAAAGGCTTTTTATCTCAGGAAACTTAACAGATTAAAATGTTTTAATCTTTCCATGCATTTAATTTATATTCCAAATATAAAACTAAATTGTGTGTTGAAATAAAATACACTGGGTGTTACAATTTCATAATAAACAATAGATAATGAATAAAATATATATTTGTTTTTATTTGTGTTAAAAGTTTAAAGTAGAGTCAATCTATTGATATTGTCATAAAATATTTATAGACCACACAATTAATTATTTTAATTACTTACTGTACTTTATGAGACTTATCAATCATTAAAGTTAGATTGGCATCTTTTCTTTCAATTGAGACATCATGCCATTCGAGATCATTTAGTTTGAGACTACTTGGCGACACTACTTCAGCTTCACCTGAGCCTAAATTAATATTAATTTTAATTCTCCCCTTTTCTAGTTGTACGATGCAATAATCTGTAGTTCCAGCTACTAAAAATATTAAAGCACTCGACAGATGAGTCTTAAACTTGAAATTTATGTCCGTTGAACTCCTGGCTTCTTTAAATGGCAGAGCAATATAACTATTCCCATAAAAAGATGCTGCAAAAGAAGGTTTATTAGTTGCAAACAACGTGTTTAATAACAAAGTAATACTAATTACCTTGGTCGATGCACTGACATATTAAAAAATAAAAATAAAACAAACACAAAACCAAAGCTTTATTCCCCATTATATCTAAACATCATTCGAAATTTATTGAGTGAAACAACTATTTTAGGTCATCTTTGGTTAAAAATAATCACCATATTATTTTCTTTGCTTTGAAATTAAAACCGTACAAGAAATTAAGTGAAATATTTACTATACAAAGAAAATACCAATAACTTATGTGTTTCTGTTGCCAGTTACTGATCACAGAACAGAGAGAAGACATTAACAGAGTGACAATTCTAATACAAATTTCTGGAAGCATGTTCCATGCGCGTTGACTGTGGCGACACGCTTGGCAACGAGCGGGAACTAGATATTTACCGGTAATGCAGATTTTCTTTAATTTAAATTTAGGCGGCAGCATTGAAAAACTTAGCAATACAAATTTGTAACTTTGTACACAAACTCGATATTTTTTGCAAAATTGCAAAAAATATCGATTTAGGTACAATGTTACAAACTCATTTACTACAAATTTATATTTTGTAAAGGTAATGTCATTAAATAGAAGGTATTAAGTAAATGTACATAAAGAACACATTTTTTATTGCAGCAGTGACACAAAAAATCTAAAAATGATCATTAAAATCACTCACAAAATACTGAAATAAAAAGAAAAATTCTATGGTTTCACAAAATAGTAAAAAAATCACTTAAGTCACTCACAGTAATTTAAAAAACCATTGCTTTTACTTTATTTGTCAAGAATATTTTGTCGCATAATTTTAAATAAACTGTTGGATATTTTAGTACCATTTAATATTCATAAATATAAGGAAGTATTTCAAGCTTTAAAAAAGAAAACATTCAGAAAACGCCAAAAGAGAATATATGAATATGAGACTGCTATTTAAAACTATGATAACTTTAATATTATAATATTCATCTCTTTATGTTGTACCTAAAAAGTAACTCCAATTTTTAGTCGCCAGCACATAAAATTGCCGTAGTATCCTGACCTGCAGTGGATTCTCATCTTTCAATACAGCATATTATGTTGGGACACCTATCTTCATCGACAGACTGCCATTCTTATGTAATGTCTTTATCTATTCAACACATAACGTGTTAAGTTCGCACATATAAGAATCCATGTTCTGATCTATTCATTCTGAATTCCTTTTATCATAGCATCCCCTCTTGTCTTGGGTTTGGACATGATTAAACTGAAATAAATACAGAAATTGGTTAGGCCACGTTGCATGGACTGATATATATATAATAAGGATTTACACATAGTGTGAACTTCTAAGTATAACAAAGAACTACTTTATTAAAAATTTGTAGTAGAAATATATTTATTTCCTACCTTAATATATTCAATTCATGTAGTAAACACGATTAAATAAATTTCCAGAATTTTATTTAGTTATAGGTTATGTTAATTGTTGAAATTATGGAACAAGGTACAAACAAATAGCATTTATAAGACATTACACTGATTACGCTATTGGTTGAAATGTGACATCAACGATTGAAATATGTTAATGACCAATTATAAGTGACTGTCATAGTTTATGGTCGTTGAGTAAGAACTACCTTCACGTAATTGTCACTATTGTCAGTCGTTTATAGTTCAATGTTGAACCACCATGCGCGATGCGCAACGAGTGCCAAAAATCGGTCCAAAACGCGTAGACAAGTTTTGTATATGATTGAAACCATCTGCTATGTCTTATCTCTGATCACAGAATTGCTGATTCACAGATTCACTGACATCTGACAACTGACAATGCGCTCTCAACATGGAACAGTGCAAGGAATTACACCAAAGAGGATAGCCGAGTTTCACAAATCTGCTTCTGAACTGAGCTACTGCCAAATGTCGATTTATGACGAACTGCAGAACCTCGCACACATTTAAATTCATTGCTGCATGTACTGGAAAACTGATTTTCTTTATAATATTAGAGCAGAATAAATATATTTAAAATAAAACAATAAGCGGGGTAAAATGCGCAGAGTAAATTATAGACGTATTCACAATAAATGTATCTGCCCTTTTAGCACGATTTATCCATTCCTTTGGAATAGCGAAAGAAACCAAATCGTTACCTTTTGGAAAGCAATGAAATTAGTATATGAACTTTTTTGTTTTTGCACTTATCAAATATCATCACACTTTTTCCTGGCTTACCGACCTTTTCCCTTATTCGACAATTTCGTATTACTCATGCCCGAAAAAAGCGCGGTACTTTTAAATCTAGTAATTTTCTGCTTCCTTTCTTATCCGCGCCTTACAACTGTTGGGTTGGCTACGATGATTATCTCATCGTAACTTTAAACAACTGTCATCGATTCTATATGGTGGGTATAGACAGTGAAACTTTTTTAGTACACATTTGCAGAAGGGTAAATTATAAATGTATCGTTAATTCTTACCCTGTAGAAGATAAAAAAAACTGTTGCAATCGATCTAGCGGTGAAATGCCCTGTCAGCAAGCAGAAGGTATCTAGCCGAATTTCAATAAACTTTTTTCTACTAACTTTTGATGTAAATAATATCTGAAAGTTTCAAGTTTGCGCTTTTATGACAGCATTTTCTACACAGACTTCTTAAAACGTCATCAATGAGGGCATCATCGCTGCGTAGCAAACGTATTTCCTTGTCATACAAGATAAGAATGAATTATAGAATAAAATTTTATACCTTTCAGAAATAACAAACCTAAAAGTGTCACTGGCTCCCTTACCATAAAACTCAAAAACAAAATGACATATGCGGATGAATAATAGACCTTTTCATCATGTGATGAGCGCAAGCGCAGCCACCATGTTGAAATAGCGGTAATTCAAAAGTTTCGTACTGTTTTGATCGACAATGGCTGGGAAAGCAATGTTATCTCTACAGAAAAATTAATCATTAGACAAAATCGTTGATAGTGAATAACTTTTTTATAACTCTGTGGAAGCGCATAGTTGTGAGCAGTTGAAAAGGAGGTTGAAGTGTCTTGGATGTTTGTTACAAAGGAACAAAGTGGACTAATTGAGAGGTTAGGTGTATCAATACTTTTTAACTCTGTAAAAAATTAATGAAAACAAATAATAATTATAACTTTATTCTAATTAATTATGCCAACTATTACTACTTACAAAAACACTTTAATTAGCATGAAAGTTAATCGCGAGTATAATTAATAAAATAAATTATTTATTATTTTGAGGATCAACATGACATTTTAATGTGTATACCAAAGTAGTATTTAATATTAAAAAAATATTGTTTAATACCACATGAGAATTTTCTTCTGTTGGACCACTTTCTCCATGAAAATGCAGTGAAATATAAGTATCTTTAGTAACATCATTAATCCATCGAAAACCGTTGTCACTTCGACCATATTTTTTCATACTTAATGCACATTTCGAATATCTTTTAATATGAATTTTGCCTGATAATTGTTTACGATATTGCAGTTAAGGCTTTGGAAAATTTATAAAATAATATCTATTGCCTTTGAATGATTTAAACGGTGTGTCACTTTTACATAACACTGTTTCGCTGTTCCTTTCCGTACAGATAACATAATTATAATTGATTGTGAAAATGTATTTTTCAATTAAGACACTAAACTTATTATTACTTTACTTTTTTCTTCCTTTTTTTAAATGAATATAGACTTAAATTAATATTTATCAATTATAATTTTTTTCACGTAAGCATTTTAACATACTTGTTTACAAAAACAGTACGAAAAAGATGGCTGAAACTGACGCATGCGCACAAAAAAAATTTGTGATGAAAAGGTCTATTGGTACTTATGGTAGGAAACATAACAATAAATTTTGATGATTTTAAGAGGAAGTAGAATTTGCGCATGAGTAACAGAGATATGCGCTGGTTCAGTGATGATGTAATTATGGTTCCACTGACAATTAAAGTGACAGTAGATTTTTTGAGTGCGTTTTGTTCGTTGTGTTTACCTAAATTATATCGTTTTTTCACTTGTATAAATATATTCCTAAAGTAAGTAGATAACATATGCATCAAATATACAATCGTTTAGTTACCAATTTACATACCTTTCAACTATTTTTATGACCTGTAAACAATATTTAGAAATAAAGTAAAAACAGTAAGAACGTATATGTCAAATTTAGTAATGTTTTTGTTAAAAGTTTGGTTAGAATTAAATGTCAATGGAACCAAAATGACATCACACTGAACTAGCGCATTATCAATAAGGAGTTTTAGCAAACATCCGCTAACCATCCGCTAACGTTACCTTAGGGATATATTGTAATCTACCCCGTTGAAAAATGTCACAATCTAAGTTTAACCTAACGTTAGCGGAGATCTTACGTACATTTGCTAAAACTCTCTAATAATGGGAAAGGTCTATTGTTAAATATTTTATACTCTGTTTCTAGCAAGACATGAATCCAATGTACCTTATTGACTCAACAAGTTTCAGGAAAATCTATTGAAATCTACTGTGGTAGCCAAGCAACTCTAGAGTCTATATAGGCACCCGAAATCAAATCACGTCTGGTGAAAGACTGCCGAGAAGACTTGACAGCTAAATAAGTATATAGTAAAAAAAATAAGTAACCTTAGCCTGGATACCAGGCCACGAATGATATCGACAAACTATATAGCCTTAGAAGGCTCAGATATAAGGCCATGACAGGCCCCGAACTCTTCTATATAGAGTTGCTATAAGTCATCGTGCAAGGCATTTATCAAACAATGGATGCAAAAAGTCTCAGGAATGGTGAAAGTTCATTAAGGAACCGTTAAACAAGTTCACGATAACATGCAGTAGATCTTACCGGACACTAGTCGCCTATGAAGGCATTTAATAAGTATCATCAGTCCAGCAGAAGGAGCACTATTATGCAGGTACTGTGAAGAAGAAGATGAAACATCAAACCATGTCCTGGGCCAGTGTAAAGGCCTGGCTAGATTGAGATTTCTAACACTAGATAAAGAAAAGCCAGACACACACATCTAACTATAAATGCAACTGAATGCAAACTTGGTTGTCAAATTTCTATAAAGAATCGGCAACTCTCAATTTTCTTTCCTGCATGGGTGGACACTTTTTTTATATGGACCCTAGATTGGATACGTAATACGCTCTCTGTGACATTTTATAAATAAAACAAAACTAAATCCATCAAGATATTTATTTTTGGATAAGTTCTAACAAAATTTAATGAAATATTGTAAATTTCAATTAGATAACGAAAGTATTTTAGACTCTGC